GTAAGGCGAGTTGCGGAGTCCGGTGGAGAAGAAAGATAGCGGCCATAGCCGCGGAGCATCAACACAGAGTATCGGAGGAGAGAGAAAGAGAGGATAGAGAAGGAGGGACTAAGGAGAGAGAAGAAGGAGTATGGAAGGAGGAGATTGAAGAAGAAGACAGACATAGCCGGGGGTGAACACACACACACAAAAAAAAAAAAAGAACAGGAAGATAGAGAAGAAGAAAGAAAGTGAAGGAAGGGGGAGTAGACGGCGAGGGTGACGAAGGTGAAGGTGCCGGCAGCCATAGCCGAGGTGAGGGGTTGACCGGGCGTTGACCAGACCGTTGACCCTAGGGTTGACCAGGGGGTTGACTACGCGTTGACCAAGGTGGTTGACCAAGCGTTGACTCGGGGTTGTCTGCGTTGACTCAGCGTTGACCAAGGCGTTGACCGGAGCTGCTGACCAAGATTTTGACCAAGCTGGAGTTGGTGATATCTCGTTGAGCCCTCAACCTATCCCCTTACCCTATGGATGTGCACTTACCCCACGGTACTTGCTGAGTCTGTCTGTCTACTCTTTCTGCATTGAGTCTCTTCTGTCCTAGGTGTTAGGACTCTGTGGATGAAGGATAGGGCCTTGCTGCCAAACCTGCACGGGCTTAGTAGGACCAAGGCTCTACTCTGGCATCTGGAGACCTGGGCATGAGCGGCGAGCGCTCGTTAAACAACTCGTCTAGCCCAATGACCGGTACTGTCCGGCAGGTCTACTGAGATCAGCGTAGAGGGTCCGAACTCCGAGCTGTAGGCTGAAACGAAGGCCGTCTTTAAGTGTTGAGGCCTGGTTGAGCCACTCCCCTACCGACCCAGAAGGCTGATGATCCGTGTCTGACGACTCGACTGACCCGAGGGACACGAACCCCTCCAAGGACCGGTACCGATCGGTGGGCTGCTCGGTGTAGCACAGGAGACTGGAAGGGTTGAGTTGTGGGCTGAAATCGCCAGAGGAGCCAAGCTGCTCGCGTCGTCCTGTTGCGACGTTAAAAAATTCCTGCGCAGTTTGGGGGATCTCCCTAAATGCCTCCTGATCAGCTGTTGGTTCTGTAGTGACAGCCGAGTAGTTTGAGTAGTGGTCTTCAGAAAGTCAGTCAGTAGGTCAGTGTCCGGGTAGGTCTAAGTGGTGAGGAGTGGGACATTGTCGTGCACCTAACACCACAATGGACAACTATCCGATGTACGGGTTGCTTGTTGGGTTCTCCCTCTGGGGGACCCTCTGGCGTCTCCTCTTTCCTCTGGGCTTCTGGCCCACTCTTACGTGTAGAGTAGACACCCGGGGTGGTACTTCCACCAAGCCATATTCGAAAGAGGAGGAGGAGAAGATGACCGTCATTCTAAGGGAAAGAAAGGAGAAGAGAGAGGCCAAGAAGAAGGCCCTACAGGAGGAGCAGGCGGCCAAGTTGAGAAAGATTGAGGAAGAGATGGCCAAAGAGAAGGAGAGAATCATGAAGGAAGAGGAGGCGAAGTTGAAAGAGGTGGACGAGGAAGAAGAGGAAGGACCGCCACTGCAAAGGAGGAGTGGACAGCACAGTGGCAGCAAAGACGAAGAACTGGAGAAACGGATTTCGGAATGGGTCGCCAACTTATCCTTGGGTGAAGAGGAAGAGGTTGCTATGTACATCCCCAAGGATGAGCAAGAAGCCGCTATGAAAAAATGGGAAGCAGAAGGAGATGTTCTGACGCGGCGGGCGATGGAGGATGAACAGAGGATGGCGTGGAAGCTCGCAATGATGAGGGAGAAGAAGAGAAGAGTGGAGGCGGCGAATGCAGCAATACAGGAATTGGAGGAGGTGCAGAAATTGAGTTTACAGTTGACACCCCAGGTAGATTTTCAGTGGAAGGTGGAGATCATCGCCCAGAGCGTCCAGCGTTTAGCCAAAGTGCAAGAAAAGCACTATGAGTTTAGTCGCAGCCAGGAGATATCTGTGCGTTCGATGCGAATGGGATTACGGGATTTTGCTCGCGAGTTAGTAGGCGGTGTGGGGTCCGAGGTGACTCACCGCCTCGAGAAGACTGAGCGTTTTTGTGTCGGCGCCATTGAGGGCGTCAAGGTGGCAGCTCCCAAGGAGGAGGAGGCTCGCCCTCGCAGGGAGCCAATCAAAGTCAAATTCCCTGATTCCTACAGTGGAAAAAGGGAAGAGAACTTTGACAATTGGGAGGCCAATGTCAGGACCTATGTGCATCTGCAGCAGGTCTCCCCAGCTCAGCAGGTCCTAATTGCGATCCACGGACTTAAGGATGAGGCCGCCAGTTTTGCAAGGTCCCTTGTTCGTGCTGCCAACTGCAGTGACGATCTGGTTGCGTACTCCACATTCACCCCCCTTGTTGAGTTCCTGAAATTGCTGCGCAAGCGATTTGTTGATGTCGCTCGTAGTGTTAAAGCGTCCGATAGGCTGCAAACGATCCACGCCTGCAAGTGGAAGAGTGCCAGGGCACTCAAGAGTACAATGGATGAGTTAGTGGTTGTCCCTGACCACGGGGTTACGGACACCCAGTTGGCCGGCCTCTTCTACCGAGCTATGCCCGAGGCCTTTCGAGGGCACTTCTTCGCGAAGAGCGAAGACCCCGCCACCACCTATGATTCTCTTAGTCGTGAGGTGGTGGCCTTTGAGGCCAAGTCTATGTCAGTTTCCACCTTCTGGCACAAAGATTTGGATAAGGGAAAGCAATGGAACGGCCGCACTATTTCTGGGCAAGTGAAGACTAAAGATAGCCTTGTCCTGACCTTAGATGAGGGTAGTGTGGACGAGATCCCCTACGATCAGATTGAGTGGGGGTTAGAGGAGGAGGACAATGGTGTGGGCCAGGGGAGAACTTATGCTGCTGTCGCGGTTGGAGGGAGGCCGCAAGGAGGACGAGGCCAGGGCCAAGGGGGCCGGGCCTCAGGGAGCCGGTTCCAGGGCGATCAGGGGGTTGGCGGCAGAGGAGCAAACCGCCAAGCGGGAGGCAGGGGTCAAGGTCCCTCGCAAAACCGTCCTAGGAACAGGTCTCCCTATAGGGTAGGAGGATGGCACCCGGGGCTACCGCATGGTAGGCCTTGGAAAACTTTGGGTCTGGACCAGACTTTATGGCAACAACGATTGGACCAGGGCCAGTGCATTTTCTGCGGTGACCCGGGCCACATCATCAAATATTGTCCTAAGTATCGAGAGACCCGAACGGCTGCCCAAGGGCCAAAAGGCAGCCGCCGATAGGGGTAGCAACTGCCCCTACCATTAGGCCATGTGGGGAACATAGTGCTAGCCGGCAGGAGACTCCCACACCACATGTGCCTATGGCAGAGGTTGCAGGCCGGTGTCTAGATAGTTGCCCAGAGACCGCTTGTGTTGGGGTCTCCCTAGACACCTCCCTCACAAGCGTAGCCGACGAGTTGAAGGACAGGAGGCCCGCCTGGGCCAAGATGAAGAAGGAGAATAAAGGGCAGCTGATCTTATTAGATACAAAGATTTTTAGTGGTAGAGTAAGGGCCCTAGTAGATTCAGGGGCCACCCACAACTATATTAGTAAGAAAGCGCTGCAGAAGTTGAAGCTGGGACTTAAAGTCCAAAAGCTAGCAGACCCTATAGTTAGCATCCTCGCAGACAATCGTACTATGGTTGTAGAGGAGTATGTAGAGGGAGTCCAGGCGTATTTCCGCCTAGAGAAGGATGGGAAAGTGGAGAAGGTCCTCCACTCCCTGACTCTCCTCGTAGAAGACAGCCTCCCATTCGACATTGTCCTGGGAATGGATTGGGGAGAGGCAGCCGGGGCCACGCTCCATCTGAAGGAGCACGAGTGTAGGCTCCCTAGTTCTTCAGGCGAGGCCAAGACTGTCCGCATGTTCCATGTGTCAGGAGTAGAGAATTCCTTGGCGCATTGCTGCCTTAGTGCCCCCGCGTTCGCCAGATTGGTGAAAAAGGAGAAGTTGGAGGAACAGGTTTTTGTTGCCTCTGTTAGGCCAGTGACTGAGCCTACAAAAGAAAGGCCGATGGACCCTGCGATTGCCAAGTTGCTGGAAGAGTTTAAGGATTTGACAAAGGCGCCGACAGGCACAGTGCCGCGGCCCATCCAGCACCGTATTGAGATAGAGCCTGGCAATGGAACTCCTAAGGGTGTTGTGTATAGGATGTCCCCACGGGAGTTAGAGGAGCTTCGCAAACAATTAGACGATCTCCTCGAGAAGGGTTGGATTAGGCCCAGTTCATCTCCTTTTGGAGCGCCTGTTCTCTTTGTCCCTGAGAAAGAGGGAGAGTTGAGGATGTGCATAGACTATAAGGGTCTGAATGGTATTACAGTAAAGAATGCTGAGCCACTGCCTAGGATAGACGATCTCTTAGATCGAGTGCAGGGGGCGAAGTATTTTTCCAAGATAGATTTGAAGTCCGGATATCATCAGATAGAGGTGCATCCTGATGATCAGTATAAGACAGCCTTCCGGACTAGATATGGGCACTACGAGTTCATAGTGATGCCCTTTGGACTAACCAATGCGCCAGCTAAGTTCCAGCGCTGTATGAACAATTTGTTTAGGTCGTGGTTAGACAGATTGTTGTAGTTTACTTGGAGGACATTCTAGTGTTTAGTAGGACCCTCGAAGAGCATCAGGGTCATCTCAGGCAGGTCTTGGAGAAGTTGAGGGAAGCTAACTTCAAGATCAATGCACATAAGTGCGATTGGGCGAAGAAGTTTTGTATTTAGGCCACGTCTTAGACGGAGACGACGTCAAGCCAGAGGATAGCAAGATTGCAGCGATTAGAGATTGGCCCACACCACGTACGCTGACAGAGTTGCACTCGTTCCTGGGCTTAGCTAACTATTATAGGAAGTTCCATAGGAACTTCTCTACTATCGATGCACCCCTTCGCAGATTGTTGAGGAAGGAGACCATCTGGAAGTGGGACAAGGACTGCACGTTTGTCATGAAAAAGTTGAAGCAGACACTGATAGAGTGCCCAGTCCTTAAAGTCGCCTATCTGTCCTTGCCTTTTGTCGTCACGACCGATGCGAGCCAATACGGCATAGGCGCGGTATTGCAACAAGACGATGGCAATGGGTATAGACCCGTAGAGTTCATGTCCGCCAGAATGCCTTCAGAGAAGGTCGCGACGTCCACCTATGAGAGGGAACTCTACTCTCTCAAGCAAGCGTTAGAACACTGGAAGCACTACTTGCTTGGGAGGCACTTCAAAGTCTATTCAAACCATGAGACGTTAAGATGGTTAAAGACGCAGGCCAAGATGACACCTAAGCTTACTAGGTGGGCCGCAAAGATAGATCAGTACGACTTTGAGCTCAAGCCAGTCAAGGGGAAGTATAACGTAGTCGCCGATGCTCTAAGTAGAAGAGATGATTACTTTGGGGCGATAGTACATTACCTCGATATAGGAAAGGATCTGCAGCAGAAGGTTAGAGAAGCCTACGCGCAGGACCCTATCTACAGCGAGCTCCTCACACGAGTCAAGGAGGCCCCAGAGACTGAGCCGAACTACCGCACTACTGAAGGGTTGCTCTTTGAGAAGACTAATGTTTTTGACCGCCTGTGCATTCCCAATAGTGAAGAGATCCGTAGCCTGATTTTGGGAGAATGCCATGACACAGAGGGTCACTTTGGTTGGCAAAAGACTTTAGCCAATCTCATGCGCGCGTATACCTGGCCAAGGATGAAGAATGACTGCGTAGAGTATGTTCGCAGTTGCAAAGTCTGCCAACGTAATAAGAGTTCTATGTGCGCCCCGCTAGGTCTTCTCAGACCCTTGCCCATTCCGGATCAGCCGGGAGACTCGGTGTCCATAGATTTCATGGACACTCAGGTCAAGAGTAGGCATGGCAAGAGCCAAGTCATGGTCATAGTTGACCGCTTTAGCAAGTACGCAGTTTTTGTTCCTTTGCCTTCAGAGGCACGTACTGATTTAGTCATACAGAGATTCTTTGACTATTGGGTAAGCGAGAATGGAGTCCCACTGTCTATAGTTAGCGATAGAGATAGTCGCTTTACTAGCCAGAACTGGCAAGAACTCATGGGAGTATATGGATCTAAGTTGTTGATGTCGTTCGGCCGTCATCCAGAGACTAACGGTCAGACAGAGCAAATGAACAAGATCCTACATGAAGTTCTCCGCATGTATATTAGGCCAGATCAGATTAACTGGGATAAGATGGTGCCCAAAGTAGCTAGTGCGTACAATAACAACGTGCATCTGTCTACATGCCGCACTCCCAATGAACTGCACGAGTCCTTTAGACCGCGCAGACCATTTGAGGGACTCAACCGGGATCAGATTCACATATTGCCGCCCCGGACCAGGGAGTTTGCTGTACAGCACGAGAAAGAACTAGCTACTGTTGTAGAGAACCTCAGAAAAGCCCAGCATAGGATGATAGAGCAAGCGAACAAACATCGTCGCCCTTCACAGTTTCAAGTGGGCGACTTAGTCTGGGTCAGTTCTAAAGAAGTTGCGCCTGAGGAGAACATCTCGCAGAAGTTACTGCCCACATATACAGGACTGTGGCCTGTTCTGGAAGTCAAGGGCGGCGAAGATGGACCGTCCTATACAATAGAACTCCCAGCACACCTCCACACGTACCCAGTTTTCCACGCATCGAAGTTGCTACCTTGTCAAACAAGTGATCAGTTTCCATCCCCTAGATCGATGATCCCACCGGATATGGATGGAAGATACGACATAGATGGTATAGTGGATGAAGATGTCTTCAAAACTGGAGGTAGGGGTCGTCCGCAGAAACAGTACAAGGTTCATTTTAGTTATCAGGACCGGAAGACGACCGCTGGTTTACAAGATCTGAACTTCTAGAGACAGCTCCCGATATAGTCCGCGCCTACGAGAGACAGCAAAAGGGTAAAGGTCCTGCCTTGGACTGAAATTTTCTCGGAGGACCTCGAATTTAGGCCGGCGGGAGTGAAACGGTATTCACAAGTTCGCAGTAGCGAATGCAGATCCCAGGGCTCGATCCCTAGTTCCCCGTCTTACCTGTGTACAGTAGCAGTGTCAACCCATAGACTTGAACCTGCGACCTGTAGAACGCCAGTGGTAGGTAGATTGTCGTAGGTCACAGGGTAGAAGGGAATCGAACTGTAGACCTGTAGAGTAGGAGTCTAGACAGTTTCGAAGTCGTAGCTGTAGGATGCCTGAAGGGTCAAGGTCGTAGCTGCTACTTACCTGAAGGGGCAAAGTCGTAGCCGCTACAGTACCGAAAGGCCAAGTCAGAGGGTTCTAGAAGTGGCCTTTCAGAGTGAGCCTGCGTTGAACATAGGCAAGTGGTCAAGTGGTGGTAGGCCAACTCGCTGAGTCAACAGTCCCAGTTAAGCAGTCCGGTCCTGTCCAAGCAAGTACCGTCTGGGACTGTGTGCACCAAGGGCCAAGGGACACAGGACAGACCAACACAGCGCAGAAGTATAAATCAAGAGGCTGTGCCCTGCCATTCATTCATTCCTGCGGATGCTATGCGGAAGCGCTGCCTCAGCAGCTTGTGCGAGGAGGTCTGCAGTGTGCCCGAAGACGAAGTGGGCAGAGAAGCGTAGTGTAGCAATAGGGTAGTGGCAGCTAGCGCTGCCATAGCTGTAGCATAGTGTGTGTGTGTGTTGCGTATGGATACTGAGTGTGGCGTGTGGGACATCCAGGGTGATCCAGAGTGCGAACAGTGAGTTGTGTGGGCGCATAGTCGCCATAGCCAGTTGGAAGAGAACTCTTATCTGGTCACGATATCTTTGAGTACTGTGTGGGCGCATGTCGCCAGTTTGCTGTATCACTGTTTGCATGCATGACGAAGTGTGAATAAGCTGAGTCTGATTGCACTCTGCAAATTGTTGTGTTTGCTGTGTGGTGTGGTCGTGGTGTTGGTGTTGCCTTGCGCTTCACTTCTCCGCTGCCTTGCTGCTCATCTGTAGGCCATGCCTATCGTGTTTGCCGCTTGTTTACCTTGTTGCTGGTGCCTTGTGCTCCGCTCCACAGTTGCCGAGCTGCTGACCCGCTCGCCCTTTCGTCCCTTGCAGCGTGGTTGCCTTGCTTGTGTTGTCTTTCACTACATGGTTGCTGTGCTGCATGTCCTGCATGCCATGTCGTTCCTTGCAGTCGTCTTTTGTGTTGTGGAGTTATGTTGCCTCTACTGTGTTGCCTGGTGCTCCACAGTGTTGCTGCCTGCTGCTATGTTCCGCTTGGGGACAGTCTGCCTTCAACAAGGGTCAAAGGGTTCATGA